TCTACCTTCAACCCTCGATATCTCCATTTAAGAACCCCTATGATAAATGGTGGCAATGGAGGGCCTGTAATTCTGATGATTACAGCGATTTCTGGAGATAAATTTCGACCGAGCCGGCTGCCATCTTGTGAGTAGGCCTGCCGAGCAGGATATGCTCGACCTACCCCAGCCAGCTACCTCAAGCCAGCTACTCTCTCAAGCTTCTACCAGCCACTACATTATTCACTGGTCAGTCTCTTTGTATTAGTGTTTATCTGCTTATTTGCATCACTCCTGAGGGGTTGACCCGAGTTTGCAAAATAAGCCAGCTTCCAGTCTGTGGTGGGGAGTCAGAACAACCGAGTCCAGTCCAGCCTAGTCTACTCCATCCAGTCTTTTGCCTGCCAAGCCAGCTTCCACCCCTGCTGTGCTCATCGTGAGAAGTTATCAAGCTATTCTGTGTGAAGGGTTAAGATAAGCCAGCTAGCAACTAACCCAGGTTTCTTCCCCCAGTACTCAAGCAAGCCACGTGAGTACAGTCTTCATCGCTTGTGATTCAAGCTCCAAGCCATTCTGAGTGCTCTTTTTCATCCTCATGGTGTTGTGGTATTTCGTGGGTGTATTTTAAGCCAGCCGGCTTAGAATTATCTTCTCAGCAGTGTGGGTGTCCTCAGTGAGGCTTACGCCATTCATCCCATAGGCCCACGACCATGTGTGTCTCACCACCCCCGGTCTTAGCCCTGTTTGCCCACTAAAATGCACCCACCCACTCACCACGCAGCCTCAGACGCCTCATTTACCCACTAACCCAACCACTCCCACTGTGTTTGGTACTCACCCAACCTCTACCAGTGTTTTGGCGCACTACTAGGGGTTATAGCACCATATTTTATGGACCAAATAGGGGGTCAAGAGCTAGAGTGTGTTTTGTGCCAACCACTGAAAGCCTCATGTGTGAGTCTATCGTCGATTTAAGTGCAGAATTGGGTTTAAATGTACATAGTCTGTATAACTAGATGTCCGAGATGAAGTAAATTGTCAACTGTTTGTTATTAACTGATCCCTGTGTTGTATAGCATATCAGTATCATCCATGTGCTTTAGATAGGAGATCCCTAGGTCTGTGACTGTTTGTGTGACATCACGGGATGCGCATGTGTACGTTCGTACCTCTGCCACCCTCTCAGTCGACACTTAGACATCCAGGCGAGAACACGGCAAAGACTGGGCTCCATCTCCCTTTACCAGAGTCTGACAATATATCGTTACCATCCAACAAGTGTGTCTACCTTCAACCCTCGATATCTCCATTTAAGAACCCCTACGATAGAACAACCACTGTGAAAGAGCAGTGAAATCCCAAGCGCTGTCATGGTTTCTCACAACATGAAGAGTGAACAAGACGCGTCACTGACACATGTTGCCACCTCAGAGAAAACGACTCTATAACTATTGTATATATTGCTGTTTCATACAGTATTATATTACTGATGTTTTCGTTAATAGCTAAAATGAAAATTTCATGCTTTATATTTTATTATTTGACTTGCATATATAGCTTATGTATGCAGGACTCACGAAATCGTAATGACACGATTGCAAACAAACCATACCCCGACCGGGATTGAACCCGTGTCATTACGATTTCGTGAGTCATGTTGACGGCAGTGAAGGGACTTGAGCTAGAGTTCGTCACGGCCACGCTAGCTGGAGATTCGTCTGTAAAAACTTGCATTTGTGGTCACAGTGGTGCCTGTGCTAACCTTCCTATGGTGTAGAAATATACCTAGTTGGACGAATCTTATTGTGGCTAGCTGGTCTAGTGGCTAACGCAACGGGCTGGAGTTTTGAGACTCTATGACCGCGGGTTCAATCCCGGCCGGGGTATGGTTTATGTATGCAGGTATGATATGACAACTACACCTCTCTTTGTTCTTGTTGATGGAGAGTTTTGACTGGCTGCAAGCTCTACGAACTACCTGCCCGCTTGTTGCACACTTCATGGCAGGTTCATGCTGGTGCCTGTAAGCTGACACTGGAGCTACAGGCCCTGCCTCATTTTCTCTCTCTCTTGCTGTTTCTGGTGGTGGTAACAACACCATCTCTTCTCTGCGAGAACGCTGTTCTCCTCAGCTTATGTTATTTAGACTGTTTGTAGTAGAGTATCCCTGTTGGTGAGCCGAGACATACACCTCATAACTCTGTGCGACTCTGTTGCCAGAGCATTACTTAGACTTAGTGTGTCGTGAGACACTCTATATCTCTGGTCCAGCGTTCAACTCTTGACTTATATTGTTTTGACATCTACACACTGTTGTAGTCGGGAAATATAAAATACTGAACTCAGTTTCAGTAATAAGGAAGTTTAGCCTCCTCAGGGAGGATTTGCTGATGGTCCCCCAATTAGGGGTCGTTTTGGTCTACTTGATTCCTTGCCTGACACTGTGCTGTTCACTGCTGCTTCCAGCATTACTGTTGTTTGGTGAATGGGTCGTTATATGTTTAAGCAAGTTGTTTGATTACGTTTAAGGTCCACAAGTTAACTGATCTAGGGACTTGTTGTTGACAGTCACACCTATATTACTCACAACAACGTACCAGATGGTATATATTCATGAGAATATTATAGTGTGCTGTATCATATCAAATGTGCCCATAACACCATATGATTATATGTGCAGAATAAGTATGATATATAAGTATACTAAGTTATACTCTGACAATTGTGTAGGAACTTATCTCCTTAATCAAGTTACATTAACTGTAATTATTACCACCTAGACACCTTTGTTATTCAAGTTCTTAACTTTTACTTATTTGTTTGTATTCGTTCAGTTGCAGTCCAAAAGCACTATTGAGAAGGCACATAACTTCACGGGATAACTGGACTAGAGTCCACTCTGACAAGCTAGATGCTAGATGCTAGAGGGAGATCAGTAAGTTGACCTAGTATTCACTCCCTCCCCCAGAGCACGGGACGGAGGTGATGGTGGGCTGCAGTGTGTGTGTGTGTCAGGCTGGTGAACTCAACTGTCTACCTCGACTCTCCTGTCCGCAACACCTGCTGCAACCTCTCCCTCACAACACAGGTATGTGACGCAACACAACACCTGCTGCAACCTCTCCCTCACAACACAGGTATGTGACGCAACACAACACCTGCTGCAACCGGTACTTTAAAACCTAAAATACTGACTAATGTAAACTACCAGTGTATATATAAACTGAGATACACACCTCTCAGTGTATATACACTGAGATACACTCCTCTCAGTGTATATACACTGAGAAACATACTGCATACTCATGAACGTATACATACATGTTGCTCTCAGTGTATTAGTCTCCATAGAATTTATGTATATGATAGTTACAGTTTATTTCACTGTAGTCTGTTAGTCACCAGTCACTGTTATTAGTCACCAGTCACTGTTGCTAGTCACCAATCACTGTTGCTAGTCACCAGTCACTGTTCTTAGTCAATGGTCATTGTTAGTCACCAGTTACTGTTGCTAGTAACCGGTTACTGTTGTTAGTCACCAGTCACTGATAGTCATCAGTCACTGTTGTTAGTCACCAGTCACTGTTGCTAGTCACCAGTCATTATTGTTAGTCACCATCAGTCACTATTGTTAGTCACAGTCACTGTTGTTAGTCACCAGTCACTCTCCCTGACAGGTCTGGGCGCGGGCGTGGTGTCCGGGTCACTACAGGTGGGCGTGGTGGGTCACCTGCCATGTGGGTGCCACGACCACTGGGTGCCAGTGTGTGCTAACAATGGTCGCACCTTCCCCTCGGAGTGCCTTGCTAGGTGAGTGTCTTGCTAGGTGAGTGTCTTGCTAGGTGAGTGCCGTGCTAGGCGTGTGCCTTGCTAGGTGAGTGTGTTGTTAGGTGAGTGTGTTACTAGATGTTGGTAGGTGTCTTGCTAAGTGAGTGTGTTGGTAGGTGAGTGTTTTACTAGGTGAGTTTCTAGGTATCTTTCTAGGTGAGTACCTTGCTAGGTGAGTGTTACTAGGTGAGTGCCATGCTAGTTGAGTGTATTGCTGAGCGCCTTCCTAGGTGAGTGTTACTAAGTGAGTGTCTTGCTAGTTGAGTGTATTGTTGAGTGCCATGCTAAATGAGTATTACTAGGTGAGTGTTGCTATGTGAGTGTTGCTAGGTGAGTGTTGCAAGGTGAGTGGCTTGCTAGTTGAATGTTTTGCTAGGTGAGTGTCTTTCTAGGTGAGTGTTGCTAGGTGAATGTTACTAGGTGAGTGTTGCTAGGTGAGTGTTGCAAGGTGAGTGTTGCAAGGTGAGTGCCTTGCTAGTTGAATGTTTTGCTAGGTGAGTATCTTTCTAGGTGAGTGTTGCTGCTGAAGGTTACTAGGTGAATGTTGCTAGGTGAGTGTTGCTAGGTGAGTGCCATGCTAGATGAGTGTGTTGCTAGGTGAGTGTCTTTCTAGGTGAGTGTTGCTAGGTGAGTGTTGCTAGGTGAGTATTACTAGGTGAGTGTTGCTAGGTGAGTGTTGCTACGTGAGTGTTAATAGGTGAGTGTTGCTAGGTGAATGTTGCTAGGTGAGTGTTGCTAGGTGAGTATTACTAGGTGAGTGTTGCTAGGTGAGTGTTGCTAGGTGAGTGTTGATAGGTGAGTGTTGCTAGGTGAGTGTTGCTAGGTGAGTGTTGCTAGGTGAGTGTTGCTAGGTGAGCATTACTAGGTGAGTGTTGCTAGGTGAGTGTTGCTAGGTGAGTGTTGCTAGATGAGTGTTGCTAGGTGAGTGTTGCTAGGTGAGTGTTGCTAGGTGAGTTGCTAGGTGAGTGTTGCTAGGTGAGTGTTGCTAGATGAGTGTTGCTAGGTGAGTGTTGCTAGGTGAGTGTTGCTAGGTGAGTGTTGCTAGGTGAGTATTCCTAGATGAATGTTGCTAGGCGAGTGTTCCTAGGTGAGTATTGCTAGGTGAGTGTTGCTAAGTGAGTGTTTCTAGATGAGTGTTGCTAGGTGAGCATTACTAGGAGAGTGTTGCTAGGAGTGTTGCTAGGTGAGTGTTGCTAGGTGAGTGTTGCTAGGTGAGCATTACTAGGAGAGTGTTGCTAGGTGAGCATTACTAGGAGAGTGTTGCTAGGTGAGCATTACTAGGAGAGTGTTGCTAGGAGAGTGTTGCTAGGTGAGTGTTGCTTGGTGAGGGTTGCTAGCTGAGTGTTGCTAGGTGAGTGTTGCTAGGTGAGTGTTGCTAGGAGAGTGTTGCTAGGAGAGTGTTACTAGGTGAGTGTTGGTAGGTGAGTGTTATTAGGAGAGTGTTGCTAGGAGAGTGCTGCTAGGAGAGTGTTGCTAGGTGAGTGTTACTTAGGTGAGTGTTGGTAGGTGAGTGTTTAGGAGAGTGTTGCTAGGAGAGTGTTGCTAGGTGAGTGTTACTAGGAGAGTGTTGCTAGGAGAGTGTTGCTAGGAGAGTGTTGCTAGGAGAGTGTTGCTAGGAGAGTGTTACTAGGTGAGTGTTGGTAGGTGAGTGTTATTAGGAGAGTGTTGCTAGGAGAGTGTTGATAGGTGAGTGTTACTAGGAGAGTGTTGCTAGGAGAGTGTTGCTAGGAGAGTGTTGCTAGGAGAGTGTTACTAGGTGAGTGTTGCTAGGTGAGTGTTACTAGGAGAGTGTTGCTAGGAGAGTGCTGCTAGTAGAGTCTTACTAGGTGAGTGTTGCTAGGTGAGTGTTACTAGGAGAGTGTTGCTAGGAGAGTGTTGCTAGGAGGGTGTTACTAGGTGAGTGTTGCTGGGAGTGTTACTAGGAGAGTGTTGTGGGAGAGTGTTGCTAGGAGAGTCTTACTGGTGAGTGTTGCTAGGTGAGTGTTACTAGGAGAGTGTTGCTAGGAGAGTGTTGCTAGGAGAGTGTTGCTAGGAGAGTGTTAGTGGGAGAGTGTTACTAGGAGAGTGTTGCTAGGAGAGTGTTGCTAGGAGAGTGTTGTGGTGGGAGGTGTTATAGGAGAGTGTTAGGTGGGAGAGTGTTACTAGGAGAGTGTTGCTAGGAGAGTGTTGCTAGGAGAGTGTTGGTGGGAGAGTGTTACTAGGAGAGTGTTGGTGGGAGAGTGTTACTAGGAGAGTGTTGCTAGGAGAGTGTTGGTGGGAGAGTGTTACTAGGAGAGTGTTAGTGGGAGAGTGTTACTAGGAGAGTGTTGCTAGGAGAGTGTTGCTAGGAGAGTGTTGCTAGGAGAGTGTTGCTAGGAGAGTGTTACTAGGAGAGTGTTAGTGGGAGAGTGTTACTAGGAGAGTGTTGCTAGGAGAGTGTTGCTAGGAGAGTGTTGCTAGGAGAGTGTTGCTAGGAGAGTGTTGCTAGGAGAGTGTTGCTAGGAGAGTGTTGCTAGGAGAGTGTTGCTAGGTAAGTGCATGATAATCTCAGGATTAATAACAAACTTTAACAAAAAAGAGTTTTTGAAAAAATTAAAATTAATTATTTTTGTATAGTTGGTGTAAATTTTTAGATGTAAGGGAGTAGTAGTGTATAGTAGTAGTAGTGTAGTAGTAGTAGTATAGTAGTAGTAGTAGTAATAGTAGTAGTAGTAGTAGTAGTAGTTGTAGTAGTAGAGTAGTAGTAGTAGTAGTAGTAGTAGTAATAGTAGTAGTAGTAGTAGTAGTAGTAGTAGTAGTTGTAGTAGTAGTATAGTAGTAGTAGTAGTAGTAGTAGATAGTAGTAGTAGCAGTAGTAGTAGTAGTAGTATAGTATGTAGTAGTAGTAGTTGTAGTAGTAGTAGTAGTAGTAGTAGTTAGTAGTAGTATTGTAAAGTAATTGTAGTAGTAGTAGTAGTAGTAGTAGTAGTTGTAGTAGTAGTAGTTGTAGTAGTAGTAGTGTAGTAGTGTAGTAGTATAGTAGTAGTTGTAGTAGTAGTAGTAGTATAGTAGTAGTAGTAGTAGTTGTAGTAGTAGTAGTTGTAGTTAGTAGTAGTAGTATGTAGTAGTAGTATTGTAGTAGTAGTAGTAGTTGTAGTAGTAGTAGTAGTAGTAGTGTGTAGTAGTAGTTAGTTGTAGTATGTAGTAGTTGTAGTAGTAGTAGTAGTAGTGTAGTTAGTAGTTGTAGTAGTAGTAGTAGGTAGTAGTAGTTGTAGTAGTAGTAGTGTGAGTAGTAGTAGTAGTAGTTGTAGTAGTAGTAGTAGTAGTAGTAGTGTAGTAGTAGTAGTAGTAGTAGTTGTAGTAGTAGTAGTTGTAGTAGTAGTAGTTGTAGTAGGTAGTAGTAGTTGTAGTATAGTAGTTGTGTAGTAGTAGTATTGTAGTTAGTAGTAGTTGTAGTAGTAGTAGTAGTAGTGTAAGTTGTGTAGTAGTAGTAGTAGTAGTAGTAGTAGTAGTAGTAGTAGTAGTAGTAGTAGTTGTAGTAGTAGTAGTAGTAGAAGTTGTAGTAGTAGTAGTAGTTGTAGTAGTAGTAGTAGTAGTAGTAGTAGTTGTATAGTAGTAGTTGTAGTAGTTAGTAGTAGTAGTTGTTAGTTAGTAGTAGTAGTAGTGTGTAGTTGTAGTAGTAGTAGTAGTTGTAGTAGTAGTAGTAGTAGTAGTGTTGTGTAGTAGTAGTTGTAGTAGTAGTATAGTTGAGTGTAGTAGTAGTAGTAGTTGTAGTAGTAGTAGTATAGTAGTGTTGTAGTTAGTAGTAGTTGTAGTAGTGTAGTTGAGTAGTAGTGTTGTAGTAGTAGTAGTTGTAGTAGTAGTAGTAGTTGTAGTAGTAGTGTAGTTTAGTTGTAGTAGTGATAGTAGTAGTTGTAGTTGTAGTAGTAGTAGTTGTAGTATAGTTGAGTATTAGTGAGTAGTAGTAGTTGTAGTAGTAGTAGTAGTTTTAGTAGTAGTAGTTGTGTAGTAGTAGTTGTTGTAGTAGTAGTGTAGTTGTAGTAGTAGTAGTTGTTGTAGTATGGTAGTAGTAGTTGTGTAGTAGTAGTAGTAGTTGTTAGTTGTTGTTGTAGTAGTAGTAGTTTAGTAGTTGTAGTAGTAGTTGTAGTAGTAGTTGTAGTTGTAGTGGTAGTAGTTGTAGTAGTGTAGTAGTTGTTGTAGTAGTAGAGTGTAGTAGTAGTGTAGTGTAGTAGTAGTTAGTTGTAGTAGTAGTAGTTGTAGTAGTTGTTTGTAAGTTGTAGTAGTAGTTGTAGTAGTAAATTGTAGTAGTAGTAGTAGTAGTTGTAGTAGTAGTAGTAGTGTGTTGTAGTAGTAGTAGTTGTTGTAGTAGTAGTAGTAGTTAGTAGTAGTAGTAGTAGTGTAGTAGTTAGTAGTTGTAAGTATATTGTAGTAGTAGTAGTTGGTAGTAGTAGTAGTAGTAGTTAGTTGTATAGTAGTAGTGTTGTAGTAGTAGTAGTAGTTAGTTGTAGTAGTAGTAGTGTTATTAGTTGATAGTAGTTTGTAGTAGTAGTAGTAGTATAGTTGGGAGTAGTATAGTTTGTTGTAGTAGTAGTATTTAGTAGTATAGTAGTAGTAGTTGTAGTAGTAGTAGTATGTAGTAAGTAGTAGTAGTAGTAGTAGTTAGTAGTAGTAGTTGTTTAGTATAGTAGTTGAGTAGTAAGTGTAGTAATGTAGTAGTAGTTTGAGTAGTAGTAGTAGATATAGTATAGTAGTAGTAGTAGTAGTTATTGTAGTATAGTAGTTGTAGTAAGTAGTAGTTGTAGTATAGTTAGTAGTTGTAGTAGTTATAGTAGTTGTAGTAGTTGTATAGTAGTAGTATGTTGTTGTAGTAGTAGTAGTAGTTGATATAGTAGTAGTAGATTGTAGTAGTTGTATTATTATTATTATTATTATTATTATTATTATTATTATTTATATAACATTATTATTATTAATTATCATTATTATTTTAATTATCATTAGTATTATTAATTATCATTATTATTAATTATTAATTATTATTATTATATTATTATTATTATTAATTTATATTATTGTTATGATTATTATTATTAATTAACATTATTATTATTATCATTATTAATTATCATTATTATTATTACTAATTATCATTATTTTTGTTATTAAGAATAATGTTATTATCATGTTTGTGGGCGCAGGTGTGCAGGTGTGGGTGAAGGTGTGTGGCGCGCGGGTGAGTGTGGTGATGAGTGTGTGGGCGTGAGGTGTGGGCGTGGGCATGTGTGTATGGCCGCCCCTGTCACCTGTCTCACCCTACCCTCCACCGCCTGTCCACAACACATCTGTGGTGAGTACTTACCCATCACGATCGTACTCTTGTTGCACTCACCTAAGAGTGCTTTGCCAGGGTCGAGTCACGGCTCCTCGTGATTCCCTATATGCAATTTCAAGGCTAGGTACGAGCGACAGGTGTTAAAAACACCTGCCTCTTCTTCAACACACTGAAATACTGACAGTCAACTACATACATATAAGGGAAATTTCACACATTTTTGTTAGTGGGTTTGAGAAAGAGCTGCCTAGTATGGGCCAGTAGGCCTGCGCAGTGTTCCTCATTTCTTATGCTGTCTTGTTGTTTATGTGGGACAGTGCCGCTAGAGGGAGAATGCCCAGACGAGGCGTCAGGGCCTGCATGTGACTCCAGGGGGCGCCAGTTCAGCACCTTGTGTAGGCTGGCACGAGACGGTGCCTCTCTTGCCTACCTTGGCACCTGTAAGGTGAGTACTGTCTCTCCTACACACCTGTAAGGTGAGTCCTACCTTGTGTTCACTTTCAGTTCTGCTGTAATTCTGTGTGAAAAATGCTTTAATCACGTTTATGTTGAGAGGAGAGAGAGAAGTGGGAGTGGTGGATGGGAGGGGAGGGGAGGGGATGGGTGGGGATCGGATGGGAGGGGAGGGGACGGGTCGGGAGTGGTGGATGGCAGGGGAGGGGATGAAAGGGGATGGGAGGGGGTGCCACATAAGGTTACGCTAGAGTTAAGATCAAAGAGGTGTTGGTTCAGCAGTGTGTGTTGTGTTGGTGGTAATGTTGGCAGCTCTACCAACTGCTCACTCCCAGCTCACCAGCTCTCTCTCATACACACACAAGAGGTATGATGAAGCTCATGCAGCAGGAAGAGTAACCTAGTAGTGACCAGTGAAGAGGGGGGGCCAGGGACTATGACTCGACCTCTGCAACCACAATTAGGTGAGTACAGACACACACACACTGGCACTCTGGTGGAGGAATTATGTAACTCAGAATAACGCCTGAAGTTGTGAGGGCACCTGGCCTGGCACAGATATTCAGGTGACAGGGGAAGGTGAATAGTGGAGTGGTAGGGGAGGAGGGACGGCTGGGGTGGCAGAGGTGCACGGATGGTCTGGCAGACCTCATGACCTGTCTAATGGTCTAACCCATGGTCTCCTGAGCGTTGCCTCCTGGTCTTTTGAACGCCCGTTATCTTAATTGATCAGTGCCTCCTGGTCTTTTGAACGTCCGTGGTCTTAATTGATCAGTGCCTCCTGGTCTTTTGAACGTCCGTGGTCTTAATTGATCAGTGCCTCCTGGTCTTTTGAACGTCCGTGGTCTTAATTGATCAGTGCCTCCTGGTCTTTTGAACGTCCGTGGTTTAATTGATCAGTGCCCCCTGGTCTTTTGAAAAGTCCATGGTCTTAATTGATCAGTGCCTCCTGGTCTTTTGAACGTCCGTGGTCTTAATGATCAGTGCCTCCTGGTTTTTTGAACGTCCGTGGTCTTAATTGATCAGTGCCTCCTGGTCTTTTGAACGTCCGTGGTCTTAATTGATCAGTGCCTCCTGGTCTTTTGAACGTCCGTGGTCTTAATTGATCAGTGCCTCCTGGTCTTTTTGGTTCATATAAGACCACAGCATTCCTGGGTCTCCTGGTGTCTCTCTGGTTTCTGTAAGACCACAACATTCTTGGCCTCCTTGATACCCTCTCTCTCTGATCTCTGTAAGACCACAACATTCTTGGGTCTCCTGGTCTTTCTCTGGTCTCTGTAAGACCACATAATTCTTGGCTTCCTGGACTCTCTCTTTGGTTTCTGTAAGACCACAACATTTCTGGGTCTCCTGGTCTCTCTCTCTCTCTCTCTCTCTCTCTCTCTCTCTCTCTCTCTCTCTCTCTCTCTCTCTGGTCCCTGTAAGACCATCCTTGGCCAAGTAAGCTGTGAGGAGCTTGATCAAGCTTAAGCTCACTCAGGAGCGACTCCTACCTGGTAAGTGATCAGCTACGTCGTCTGAATTATTCAGATATTCTTTTGCAATGGTGATTGTCGTCTGAACGACTCGTCTGTCAGTGTGTTAGGTTGGGAGGACTGACGCACGCCTTACACAACACTACCATCACTCTGCGTCTCATTCCATCGTTTCATTTTGTCAGTTTCTCTACAAGCCTAACTAGATGTGGGTTCCATACTGGCTCTGCGTACTCCAAGATGGGTCTGACATATGTCGTATATAGGGTCGTAGATGCCTCCTTGTCGACGTTCCTGAGAGCTTCCCTTTAATTTGTCAGTCTCACCTTTGCTGCAGTGGTTCTTCAGTTGATGTGCCTCAGGTGAGATGCTGGGAACTATGCTTGCCCCGCGATCGTTCAGGGAGGCTTGCAACTTTTGTCACCCTGAGCCTGTACTGAACCATGCTTACCCTGCGATCGTTCAGGGAGGCTTGCAACTTTTGTCCCCCTGACCCTTACCTGTTACTTGAGTTTTTCCCCTTTCCGATTTTCATAACCTGTCAGAGCAGTCCTGCAACATGTCCAGAGCCATGTGTAGTCTGTCCTGGTATACTCCTGTTTGTATTCTTTTCATTAGTTTCACATCATCTACGGACAGGGACACCTTTCACTCGATTTCCTCTAGGTTAGGTAAGGTTTGTCAGGAAACAGGATAAGTGTTTCCTGACGCGGGTCTTAGTCATATGATGATCCGCCACTGAATCTTTCGGTCATCTAACCGAGCCCTTCCGCTGGCTTACTGGTCCACCCCTTTAAAAATTATGGTTATTATAACCATTTGTCTAATAGATCGATTTCCTTTGTCATGTCGTTCACATACACTCACAAAAAAATACTGGTCCAAGTACTCATCCTTGGGGAAACCCCAACTGTAACACCACCCATTCTGAACCCCCCTGCAAATTTTCCCCATACCCACGTATGCATTCCCTGTTATTAGTAACTGCCTCATTAATTTTGTGCCAGTCCCTGCGGGGGCTTTTTTCAAACACGTCTTACAGTTTAAATTATACAGTTTACTACCCGTCTTCTCCTGCCTCATTTTCTTTTCTTTATCATAAACTTAGCAGCTTGTAACTGTCCGTCATCTGTTGTTGTTGTCCCCCTTTTGAGTCTTCTAGCTACCCGTGCTGTGTGTCTTCCCTCATGTTTTTGTTATAAAATTTTCCCGTTTTTGGGCTCCTCTCTTTAGTGGAGAGTTGTATATCACCGTCGTCACCATCTTGGGCCCCCCCTTTGGTATCCTGTTTTAGTCAGTATCCTGTTCCCATTATTTATTCATTTTTCGTATGTGCACATGTGGTGACTAATTTTTTTGCTTTTCCATTATAGAGTATAAGCCCTGATTTTCTCTTATTATGAGTATAGCACCCGTTTCTCTCATAATAGAGTATAAGCACCTGATTGTCTCTCATATATAGAGTATAAGCACCTGATTATCTCTCATATATAGAGTATAAGCACCTATTATCTCTCATATATAGAGTATAAGCACCTGATTGTCTCTCATATATAGAGTATAAGTACCTGACTGTCTCTCATATATAGAGTATAAGCACCTGACTGTCTCTCATATATAGAGTATAAGTACCTGACTGTCTCTCATATATAGAGTATAAGCACCTGATTGTCTCTCATATATAGAGTATAAGTACCTGACTGTCTCTCATATATAGAGTATAAGCACCTGACTGTCTCTCATATATAGAGTATAAGTACCTGACTGTCTCTCATATATAGAGTATAAGTACCTGACTGTCTCTCATATATAGAGTATAAGTACCTGACTGTCTCTCATATATAGAGTATAAGTACCTGACTGTCTCTCATATAGAGAGTATAAGCACCTGATTGTCTCTCATATATAGAGTATAAACACCTGATTGTCTCTCATATAGAGAGTATAAACATCTGATTGTCTCTCATATAGAGAGTATAAGCATCTGATTGTCTTTCATATTTAGAGTAAAAGTACCTGATTTCCTCTCATATTTAGTGTGTAAGCACCTGATTGTCTTATAGAGTATAAGCACCTAATTTCCTCCCTGATTACCCAGGTAAAGTAGTGTTGTGTTACAGAGGAGATGCTCGTCCGTGGGCGTGGTGTGTGGGCGTGATGGGCGGACGTGGACGTCAGAGTGCCACGCCCATGCCCACTACGTATCACTAGACTACAGAGGTCCGTGTAGGGCCGTGGGCGTGCCAGGCACTCAGTGCCCTGGTGTGGTCTGTCCTCCTGCTCCTCATCCAAGGTGAGGGAGCAACAACTACAACAACAACAATTAACAAACACCTGAGGGACGATGTATGACAGGTTTAGCGCTTCTCCATACAGTAGAAGCTGAGTATTTCTACTATAGAGTAATGTATACTTCTGTATAGTATACCCATACCACCCGGGCTCCACCTAGCACTCACCTACTTGTACTCACCTATTTGTACTCACTTATTTGTGGTAGCAGGGGTCGATTCATAGCTCCTGGCCCCGCCTCTTCATTGATCGCTACTAGGTCCTCTCTCTCTCTGCTCCATGAGCTTTATCATACCTCGTCTTAAAACTATGTATGATTCCTGCCTCCACTACGTCACTTGCCAGACTGTTCCACTTCCTGACAACTCTACGACTGAAGAAATACTTCCTAACATCTCTTTGACTCATAGAAGTCTTCAACTTCCAATTGTGACCCCTTTTTGCTGCGTCCCATCTCTGGAACATCCTGTCTCTGTCCACCTTGTCAATTCCTCGCGGTATTTTATATGTCGTTATCATGTCTTCTCTAGCCCTCCTGTGCTCTAGTGTCGTCAAGCCGATTTCCCTTAACCTTTTTTCGTAGGACATTCCCCTGAGCTCTGGGACTAGTCTTGTTGCAAACCTTTGCACTTTCTCTAATTTCTTGACTTCCTTGACCAGGTGTGGGTTCCAGATTAGTGCTGCATACTCCAGTATGGGCCTGACGTACACAATGTACAGAGTTTTGAACGATTCTTTACTGAGGTATCGAAACACTATTCTCAGGTTGCCAGGCGCCCGTATGCTGCAGCAGTTATCTGGATGACGTGCACCTCAGGAGATGTGTTCGATATTCTACAAACCCTAATATCCTTTTCCTTAAATGAGGTTTGCAGTCTTTGGCCACCTAGCTTATACTCCGTCTGCGGTCTTCTTTGCCCTTCCCCGATCTTCATTACTTTGCATTTGACGGGGTTAAATTCGAGGAGCCAGTTGGTGGACCAGGCTTGCAGCCTGTCCAGGTCTCCTTGAAGTCCTGCCTGATCCTCACCTGATTTAGTTCTCCTCATTAACTTCACATCATCTGCAAACAGGGACACTTCTGAATCTATCCCTTCCGTCATGTCATTCACATATACCAAAAACAACACTGGTCCTAGGACTGACCCCTGTGGGACCCCGCTCGTCACAGGCGCCCACTCTGACACCTCGTCACGTATGATGACTCGTTATTGCCTCTCTGTCAGGTATTCTCTAATCCATTGCAGTGCCTTTCCTGTTATATGCGCCTGTTCCTCTAGCTTTTGCACTAATCTCTTGTGAGGAACTGTGTCAAAGGCTTTCTTGCAGTCCAAGAAATGCAATATACCCACCCCTCTCTCTCGTGTCTTACTTCCGTTACTTTGTCATGAAACTCCAGTAGGTTTGTGACACAGGATTTTCCTTCACTGAATCCATGCTGGTTGTCGTTCATAAGCTTGTTCCGTTCTAGGTGCTCCACCACTCTCCTCCTGATAATCTTCTCCATCACCTTGCATAATATACACGTCAGTGACACTGGTCTGTAGTTTAGTGCCTCGTGTCTAGTGAGTGTATACCAGTGTATGCCAGTGTATAGTATTGTATACAAGCCTCTCTACATTACTTTGCTGACTATACACGAGGTAATACACCCCAATCTTGCTGTGTATATACCGGGAGGTGTATGTCTCTTTATGTATATACACTGTGAGGTGTATGTCAATGTATATACACTGAGAGGTTTATATCTCAGTTTACATTAATCAGTATTTTAGGTATTAAAGCATTCTTGACTGGCGGTGTAATGGTGACATGAAGCCTTAATGACCCTCGTGTGGTAGATAGACTTCAAACCTGATTAACCAACCAACCATCCATACTTGGGTGTTATATCATACAATCTAGTTGTATGTTCTATTATTGTATCATATATATAGTTGTATGATGTATTACTGTATCATACACCTAGCTTTATGATATATTACTGCATCATACATCGAGTTGTATGATGTATTACTTTATCATTCATTCTAGTTGTATTATGTATTAATGTATCATACAGCTAGTTGTATGCATTACTGTATCATACAACTCGTTGTATGATGTATTACTGTATCACATTATCTGTATGATGTATTCATGTATCATACATCTATTTATGATTATTACTGCATCATACACCTAGCTGTATGATGTATTACTACATCTAGGTGTATGATGTATTAGTCATACAGTTAACTGTATGATGTATTACTATATCATACAGCTAGCTGTATGATACATTACTGTATCACACTAGTTGTATGATGTATTACTGTATCATACACCTAGCCGTACGATGTATTACTGTATCATACACCTAGTTGTATGATGTATTACTGTACCATACAACTAGTTGTATCATACAATCTAGTTGTATAATGTATTATTGTATAATGTGTTACTGTATCATACAGTCTATATGTATGATGGATTAATGTATCATACACCTAGTTATATGATTATTAATGTATCATACAACTAGTTGTATGATGTATTAATGTATCATACATCTAGGTGTATAATATCTTTATTTACTACCAGTACATGTACAAGGTATACAGACCATAGCTGACATCAATGACATACTACTATATAGAAAGCCGCTTGTTATGCTGAGCATTTCCCGCAAATTAGGTCAGTTTTGTCCCAGGATGCGACCCACACCAGTCCACTAACACCCAGGTACCTATTTTACTGATGTGTGAACATAGACAACCGGTGAAAAGAAACACGCCCAATGCTTCTACTCTCGCTGGGAATCGAACCCAGACCCTCGCTGTGTGAAGCCAGAGCTGTAGCCATCAGGCCACAGGGTCTGGTGGCCCCGTGGCCACCTAAGTGTATGATTCATTAATCATACTAGTTGTATGATGTATTATTGTATCGTACACAAATGGAGCAAACTCTTCCGCACAGCCAATTACAGTTGGTGTCCCACAGGGAAGTGTCCTTGGCCCTCTTCTCTTTCTCGTTTACATAAACGACCTACCAAATGCATCGCAACTACTCAAACCCACACTATTTGCAGATGACACTACATACGTCTTCTCTCACCCGAGCCCAGTCATACTAACCAATACTGTGAATACCGAATTACAGAAAATATCTACCCGGATGATGACTAACAAGCTTACTCTCAACATTGACAAAACCTACTATATTCAGTTTGGTAACAGAGCTACAGACTTCCCTCTTAACATAATGATAAACGGATCACCTATCACAAAACTCACAGAGGGAAAATTCTTAGGAATCCACCTTGATAATAGACTCAAATTTCAAACACATGTACAACAAATTTCCAAGAAAAAATCCAAGACCGTAGGCATACTATCAAAGATACGGTACTATGTTCCACAGTCAGCCCTCCTGGCCCTATATCACTCACTTATGTACCCCTATCTCACCTATGGAATTTGTGCATGGGGCTCAACAACAACTGACCATCTCAGACCACTAATTACCCAACAAAAGGCTGCAGTCAGAATGATAACAAATTCCCACTACAGGCAGCACACTCCACCAATATTCAAAACACTAAACCTACTCACCATACAAAACATCCATACTTATTATTGCACCTGTTACATACATAGAACACTTAACTCTGATATTAACCCTCCCCTCAAACATCTCCTTACCAACCTCAACAGAACACATGACCATAACACAAGGCACAGATCACTCTTTGATGTTCCTCGTGTCCATCTCACACTATGCAAAAACTCAATGCACATAAAAGGCCCTAAAATCTGGAATTCATTACCTGTGAATATAAAAGAAACACTGTCTTGTTTATAAATTCAAGTCTCTTCTCAAAAATCACTTACTCACCCACAACTAAATAAATACTGAATAATTGTATCTCATAAATGATTCTCATTATTGTATCTCATAAATGTCTAACCTGTGACCCAATCAAACTTTGTTATTTTTAATTATCTAACAGAATACTCCATTCTAGTGAATGTTCAGCAACACAGTAATGACCATATGACCTGTCTTTGTAATACTCATTTGTGCTTAATTGTTAACTGTTTACAACAATGTTTACCACTGAATATATCATTGCTTAGTTAATCTTAAGCTAATTTTAAGCCTGCCCGTAATGCTCTGCATACAAGGAGCTTTGGCATGTTACACTTAACCACTGTATTTCTATGTACTTCAGTGTATCATGTTCAAATAAATAAATAAATAAATAAATACAACTAGTTGTATGATGTATTATAATCTTGGTGTATGATTTATTAATCATGGTGGCCCGTGGCGAGGGTCTAGGTTCGATTCCCAGCGAGGGTAGAAACATTAGGAGTGTTGCTTTACACAGGTTGTCTATGTTCACACATCAGTAAAATGGGCACCTGGGTGTTAGTGGACTGGTGTGGGTGGCATCCTGGGTGTTAGTGGACTGGTGTGGGTGGCATCCTGGAACAAAACTGACCTAATTTGCGGGAAATGCTCAGCATAACAAGCGGCTTTCTGTATGTCGTTGTTGTCAGCTATGGTCTGTGTACCTTGTACATGTTCTGGTACAATTATTATTATTATTATTATTATTATTATTATTATTATTATTATTATTATTATTATTATACAACTAGTTGCATGATGTATTAATACAGGTTTATTGATTGTATTTTCTTGTTGCAGTTGTGTGGGCGTGGAGTGGAGTGGGTGGTGTTGTGGGCGTGTGTGTGGGGGAGGGGTGGTGGTCAGCTGGTCCACGCGGGCGGTGGAGGTGGCGGCTGTGGTCCTGCCCACCCACCGCCCACTCACCCTCACCGCCCTCCTCGCCGCCCTCGCCGCCCATGTGAGCGTCTCGGAGTGCCAGGTACTGGGCCAGATCACGTTGGAGGGCAACCTGCTGGTGCTCCTCACGCCCACGGCCGCCCACACGCCCACCCCCCCGCCCCTGGTGGCGGGGGCGTGCGTGGTGGAGGCGGAGAGGCTGGTGGGCGTGGTGCGGGCGCGCTCACCACGCCTCATGTCCGCCCTCCCTGCTGCAGCCCTCACCCTGGCCGCCCCCGCCCACACCAGCGCCGCCCACGCTGCCGCCCATACCTGGACCTTCACCGCCTTCGCCCTACTGATCAGCAAGAGTCTGTTAGCGGTCCAGAGGATGTGTTAGCGGTCCAGAGGATGTGTTAGCGGTCCAGAGGATGTGTTAGCGGTCCAGAGGTCTGTTAACAGTCCAGAGGTCTGTTAACAGTCCAGAGGTCTGTTAATGGTCCAGAGGTTTGTTAGCGGTCCAGAGGTCTGTTAGCGGTCCAGAGGTCTGTTAGCGGTCCAGAGGTCTGTTAGTGGTCCAGAGGTCTGTTAGCGGTCCAGAGGTCTGTTAACAGTCCAGAGGTCTGTTAGCGGTCCAGAGGTCTGTTAGAGGTCCAGGGGTCTATTAGCGGTCCAGAGGTCTGCTAGCGGTCCAGAGGTCTGTTAACAGTCCAGAGGTCTGTTAGTGGTCCAGAGGTCTATTAGCGGTCCAGAGGTCTGCTAGCGGTCCAGAGGCCTGTTAACAATCCAAAGGTCTGTTAGCGGTCCAGAGGTCTGTTAGCGGTCCAGAGGTCTGTTAGCGGTCCAGAGGTCTGTTAACAGTCCAGAGGACTGTTAGTGGTCCAGAGGTCTGTTAGCGGTCCAGAGGTCTGTTAACAGTCCAGAGGTCTGTTAGTGGTCCAGAGGTCTGTTAACAGTCCAGAGAGACTGTCAGGGAGTTTCTTATGGTGCTATGGACGTCAGTTTTTCAGTGCCTCTTTAGGGTATTACGGCACTCTAGACAGTGCCACACTCTAGACAGTGCCACGGCATTCTAGACAGTGCCACATTCTAG